CACCTCCTACTTCTAAACACTTATCCAATCTCCGTCTTACTTCTCTTACCGAAGCCTTACGTAACATTTCTCTAGATAATTCATCGCAAGCAATTCTGATTTTGTCTTTTAAATGTTCCATGTTAACTGATGGTGTTCTGTAAACTTTATTTTTCAAAATTCCCCACAAAAAGAAATCTAGTGGGGTCAAGTCCGGTGATTTAGGCGCCCACTGTATCGGTCCATTTATACCTATCCAATGTTCTCCATAAGTTTCATTCAAATATCGTTGGACAATTCTTGCTTTATGCGGTGGAGCTCCATCATGCTGGAAACACATATTTGCTCGAAGCTGTAATGGCAAATTTTCGAGAAGCACAGGCAATTGTTCTTGAAGAAATTGCAAGTATCGCTCACTACATAAAATTCCTTTGTAAAAATATGGACCAATCAAATGCCCATTAATAATACCACACCAAACGTTAATTCCGAAATGCCCTTGGTTTTCAATCGGATTGACAAAATGTGGATTCTCAGTAGCCCAATAATGTTAATTTTTTTTATTGGGCTTACCATTACTAACAAAACGGCTTTCGTCCGTCCATAAAACATGCTGAAAAAATCGATTTTCATACTCTAACGTTTCCATCACTTGGGCAATATAATTCAATCTTCGTTGTTGATGTTGGTCTGATAAGTATTCTAAGTTGTGAAGTTTATAATCGTGGTAACCATTTTCCTTCAAAAATTTTCGTACCGAACTATATTTTAAATTCAACTCACGGCAGGCTTGCCGAATCGAATTTCTTGGATGGGTTTCAAAATACTGCAAAACAGTGGCAACAGTATTATCAGAATTGACTCTTTTAGCAATTTTTTTTCCCATTCGAGAAGAAAATGCCTTGTTATTTGAACGTAAATTGCGTTCCAATCTTGCAAATATTTTTAAGCTTGGAATAACACGTTCGGGGTATCTCTGGGCGTATAACTGAACTGCTCTTCTAGGGTTCTTTTGAGATTCCCCATAAACTAATAACATGTCGACTTTTTCATTGTGCGTGAACATTTTTCAAAGCCAAATAACAACATAACAATATTTGTCAACCATTAATTTAATTTGGCAGATACGTCTTTGCTATTTGTTTCCAAAGGCGACTTGTTTAAATTGTGACTATTCTGAATTTTTGATTATACTTTTTTTTACAAATTTGCTTATAATTTTTAAAGTGAAGGAGATATCAAATTTTTTTCTCCATAAAATTTGTTCAGAAAAATTAGCTCTTTTTAAATTTGTAAAAATATAGGTATGTTTCCGAAAAAAAAAAAAATCGATAACGTCATTACCTCAGTTTTCAAATATGGACAAATATGCAAATTGGGCTTAAAACGGACCTTACTCTATCCCATTTAAGAACCTCTTTTCAACTTTTTCCTATCTTTTTCCCTTGTCCCATAATGGAGCTGAGACATCGAGTTTCGCTCACCCTGTACATATGGCCTTCTTTTCGCTCTAGATTGTGGCTTCTTCGGGGGGGTTCATCGTACACTATTCCAGTGAATTATGACAGAATACATAGACTTTTTACAGGACCACGAACACACTATGACAAACCTGTTTTTTCCTAGCTTTTTCAGGGGACACAACCATAATTAACGCAAGACGGACCTATTAACCATGTACAATTACCAATTTATACACTATACAATCCCTTAATTATGTCCCTAGGGCAAGGAGTGAGGAGCGTAATCACAACAGTAAACAACAAGGCATATTAAAGGCGAAGATACTCGTCTTGGCTCATGCAGACCCCTGTTATGAGCAATACATTACACTTTGTATTCTATTTTTATGCTGATGTGTATAGCAAAGATTTTTAAAAGATGAATAAATGTTTTAAATAAATGTGGCCTTCTTTGGGAGTCACATATGAGGTATGCAAATCGTCAGATGGCTAGCCACTGCTAAAGGGGTGTCAAACTTTATTTTTGTTACTTCCGTCTGACATTTTATCATATTGTCTTAAAACCTTCATAAACACATATTCGTTTAGTGAGAACATTTGTGGCGTAACTCATAAATACTCGTTTTCGACTTATGTACATCAAAAGATTGCTTATTGTAGCCCGCAACTGGTACATAAATTGCGAAATTATAGTTTTTCTACTATTTCCTCGGTGGCGGTAGTCGTCAGTAATGCCTGGTATTTTTATTTTCAACTTCGAACGCAATACTGACTAATGTAACATCGTTAATATTCATTTACTCGAAAAAAAAAAACTTGTTACATTACGACTTGAAAGATATTTAAAATTTAGAGAGAAAAAATCGGTAAGATAGTTCCTAACGTATAGCCAAAAAAAAAAAAAATAATTTTCGTACAAACTTCAACTGCGATTATCTCAGATCGCCATTTTCGGAGTTAGGTCACTAATGTTCTCACTAGGCGTTATGATCGTCAGGCAAACAGGCCACTGCAAATTCCTCCTACAATACCGCGAATTTCCGGTAATATGATTTCATTATGCCCTGTTAAAAACCCCCTGTTTGAGATCAGAAAGAGGAGTTTTTGCGAAGGAGAAGACGCCCTTGAGCGCCATGACCACGGCTGGTCGCACACGACCGAATTTAATAAGAATATTAACGCGCAGTATGAATATGCGGCCAGCTGGTCGTAGCGCTCACACGTTTGTTATAGTAGGGGCAGAAGTTGGAAAGGCTTTTGCCAGCTCTCCCACTTCATACATATAAATTGACAGGTTTGCAGCGGATCTAACCGACGTGGACGCGATACATTGGCGTACAAAATTATTTTAATAATAACAATTTTGGGTAAAGAGTTTAATAAATTGTGAATAGCTGTTGAAATTTTGTAGAATTATGATTTGGATATTATAATGCATGTTTAATAATTATTTATAGCCCATAAATACATGCAACTGTCCGGTTCCGCCGGTAATTACTTATTCTATGAAACGACACTTCCAGGTAAATATTACTGCGAAATTCTCGAAGTCGTCCGACGTAGTTTGACGTTTACCCCCTAAGCTTTTCCAACTTCTCCATTCGCGTATCGGGAACAACACTAATCATTTGTAGTGCGCATGCGTACGCGTTTTATTTGTACATCGGTCTCCTTTTGACAGAGTAGGTGAGCTGTGTCTAGGCCGTTGGTGTTTATGCCGGTCGTTGTAGCCAGGTATGGATTAAAATTTTCTGGTGGCGGCGAAGTCGTTGCTTCGTCTTCTTGTTGTCACGGCATTATTATTATTATTATTATTTGTTTATGTATATGTGAAATTTGCTTCTAAGGTTTATAAAATACTACTGCTAGGCACGGCGCAAATGAAAACAAACAAGACGCATTCACACAAACACCTCCCTCATCAGCAATTACAAATGATTAGTGTTATCCCCGATACGTGAGTAACTTCTGCCCCTGCTCTAACCGACCAAAGTACCGACCGATCGTTGGTACGGCTGCATTCGTGGGTATTTGTATCGAGTAGATCCTCGTTAAAGCAGTGGGCCCTCGTTTAGGCAGTGGGGCCTTGAAAAGAACAATGAATCAAATGCGAAGAAACCCCGTAACGTAGCAACCTCGGAAAAAGCATCAGTGTGCAATGGGGCGTTTTTTTCTTTTTGCTCTTCATTGAATCGGACCATCAAAAAAAATTGATAGGAGGGCCTTCTCCCTCCTGAACCGGTAGACCCTGGAGGTCCCACTCCGACACTGGTTCCATGTACGGCCACAACCAACCGTTGGTCGTGGCCATGGTCGCTCTAGTATGCCTTTGCCCTTAGACTATAACTTATTGTAGTGATGCAACTGATTTTAACCAATAAATAGTAATATTGCGAAAATGGTAATTTAAAAACCTTCTGAGGTTTGCTAATTGTTTTAATTTTATGATAATTATTCTGTTTAAAAATATGTAGTTAGAAATAATCTAGTCTAATTATGGTTTAAATAAATTAATAAATAAACGGTTTTTTAAGAATTATACTGATTTAATAATATATGTTGTTTGCTGTTGGGATACAATTCGATGAAAACATTGATGTTTGCACCACCCAAAGACTTGAATGTAGAAAAATTGTGCTGTAAAAAAATAAAAAAAATACTGTTGTTCAGATCATAATCATAGAATATTGGCAAGTGGTAACTGATACAAGTAGTATATCCTTCACCAAAGTAATCCTAACTATTATGACATCTCTTTCCTTTTCTCTTAACGTAGAGAAAGAGATGGACGCCATTTTCCAAGTCCAATATCTGAAAGGAACTGATTAAATCCCTAAGAAAATTAATTACTTACACCGTTGCCACGTACAAACAAAACCTTTTAACGTTTAAATATCTGATTTTCTTTCTCAATTTTAACTTAGTAAATATTTTTAAAGAACAAAAATTTGATAGGGTGTTTCTTTTGTCGCATATTTCCCTTATTTTTCATTGGTTTTAAAATAGTTGATTCAATTTATGTCGCTTCATTATTTTTGAATTTTAATATTTATCTATAGATAATAAGTATTGTGGTTCTTACTCAAATAAGGATTATTTAAATTACATAATGGCATTATCAGATCTACTTTCGCTTTTTTTTTATTTTGTGTGTAATGATTTGTTTCTTCCCAATCCTCTTCTTTTATCTTGAGATCTTTTTGATTTTTTATTAACTGTTCATTAATTCTGAATTTTAAATCAATATTTCTGAACGGCGTGGTGTATTCCAATTTTTGTGAATAAACTGTTTCCAAAAAAATAAATCAAGAAAACGATTCGTTGCAGACCCGTCTTCAAATCTGGATTATCCCATTTATAACGTAATGTATAAAACAAAATACCTAGTTGATGACAAAATTATTAAGAGTTCTACACAAATGTATTTTTCCGGGGACTTGAACCTCGTCGCTCTTTAAACAAATTTTATAAACTTTTAACCGCTGAATCTAAAAAAATGGTCCCTTAAACTATGTTTGTGTTTATGCTCTTAATATACTAATTTATTTCGTTTTTCAGGACCCGTCCGCCGAAAACGCTAGCGAGGAAGAAGTAAAGCTTGAAATAAAAGTCGAAGTAAAAGTCGAAGAGAGCGATAAACCTTCAGAAATTATTGATAAAAAAGGCCCGAATACCTCGAAGATTGAGGTTGTAGTAATAGAAGACGAACCAAATCCAAAAAATACCAAAAAACCGAACATAAAAAGGAAATCTATCGAAAAGAAAGTCGAAACTGATATACCGGTGATTGAAATAGATTCAGGTGACTCACAACTGTCTGAAAAAGAACCAGAAACCAATAAAAATGTTAGTAAGAAGAGTGATGATAACATTGAACCAATGGATGTAGACGATAATGATAAAGAAGTTGAAATTATTACTAAAAATCCAAAAATCGAAGGTTCCTTAGCGATTCCTAGCACGTCAAGCGATCAAGAAGCGACAACGCTCGATGATAAGCGAGCCATATTGAAAGACATCGGTATTCTTGAAGAAAAACCGATTGACATAGAAGACAAAGAAGTAGAACAGAAGAAGACGTTAATAGAAGACGATACTGCAATACCCTTTCAGAGTTTAGCACCTCCTTCCACTCCAAAAGATTTCTCAGAATTAGGTACGTTTTTTATCCCATTTAAGCGTTTGCGTAGAACATCCCTGTATACGTTAAAACTTCTATACAGGGTCCCTACTATTTCATAAGGACAGTATTGATATTTCTTAAACGATAACAGAAAGTTACTTGTAATCTTTGATATCTACAGGGAGATTCTAAATATCGGACAAAAAAATTAATGAATTTAAAGAAATGACAATTTTCATTTTTATCCGATATTTTGAATCTCCATGTAGATATCAAATCTTTCTTGGTGCCATTTTAATGAGCACAAAACTGATTTAACCACTTTCTATCTGTTACCGTTTAAGAAATAGAAATAGTAGGGACCCCAGTATACAGTATGGTGCAAATGAAAGGAATAAATTAATTTCATAAACCGGTTACTGCGTAGGAAAATTCTGAAACCGGTCGATTTTTATGTTCAAGCGCACGTTACGTGATATCTTTTTTTATAAGTGACGTCATTTGAGTGAACGCGATTATGTCATTGATGATTGTTTAAATAGAAATGTGTGACATGCGATAGAATGGTCCTTAAGGGCCATATTTATAAACCATATATTATATAGACAGACTAACGTGTTAGCCCGTGCAGGTAGGTGGAGTCATTATCAGTGGCGAATGGAGATAAAAGTAGATCATACATCTTAAATTATGTTGTGTTGGGTATGTGGTATTATTACCCTGTGACCTAAAGGATCTGTTTTACACCCTTCTGTCGCTAATGCAGCAATAGTCTCGATGCCAATAATGACCCTTTCAATCCTATTTTCTCAATGAAGTGTAAGATTTAAAGTGACTTCAAGTTAGGTAGATCGCCCTCTTTTATTTGAAATGCTGCTAAGTATAGTGCCCTTGGATTCTGGAGTACTACCCACGACGAAAAACTACTAGACTAACTTTGTTTACAAAAATCGAATTGCAAATATTCACAGTGTCATTCACATAGTTGTATTGTTTATGGTTTTAATTCGGTAATGACTAAATATAAGGCTCTAAAACGCACAAAAGGCTTTTAAAATTACATTAGGGAATAATAATAATAATAGCTTTTATTACGGGGTGGGTGGCTCAGTGGTAGAGTCTCTGCCTGTGGATCGAAGGGTCCCAGATTCGAATCCCACCGTTGGCCGGAATTTTTTCATTTAATTTAATTATTTAAAATTAATTCTGATGCCTTGGTAGGATTCCCCACTCGACCATTCACTATTGGGTTCTAATTAACAGTGCTGTTCCTAAAGTGGCGCTGGGAAACAGTAACAAAGCCTACACAGAACACGAGACGAAATAACCTTAGCAGTTGAAGCCGCTGACACAAAAAAAAATTAGCCTTTATTGCGCAACATATATAAATCCCTTTATAGAACAACCCAAAAAATCATTAATAATTAGTAAAGGTGACAAATATATATGGATATTATAAAAAAAAATGAATACAAAATAAATAAATATAAAAGAACAAAAAAAGATAAATTTTTAAGCATTGTCATAATTGATACAAGCAACTGCTTTAATACTTTCCAAACTATCTGTGAAGATATCTGATGAATTACAATATAAGTTAAAGTTATTACACATGACATTGAGAGGTGAACTTAATAGAATATTTGTTCTAAATCTGTTACAATAAAAAGTTAAATGATGTCTGTTATTATATCGGGGAACATTTAAATTAATATTAGCTAAAATAACACGACAGTCAATTAATCCATTCGTGATTTTGTATAAAGAAGTCAAAGAAGCTAGAATTCTCCGAAATTCAAGGCTATCCATGTTAAAACTATCCAAAAGTAGCTGATAATCGATTCCTCTTGGAGGGTAAACACCATTTACTTTGAAAGCTAAATATTTCAAAAACTTCCTTTGAACAGATTCAACATTAAACATGTGAGTATTATAGTAGGGATACCAGATAGTTGAACAGTACTCAAGCTTAGTGCGGATGTATGAATAGTATAATGTTTTTAATGCTCCAATGTCTGAATCCACGACAGTTTCGTATAACAAAACCACACATTTTGTTTGTATCAGAAACCTTCATATTACTATGCACAACAAAACTTAGTCTCGAGTTAAAGTATCACCCAGATCAGTGATAGAGGAACAACGTGACAAAACTAAACCATTAATATTGTAATAGAAATCTGTAGTAGATATTTTTCTGGTGTATACTATCACTTTACACCTAGATGCATTTAACATTAACTAGATCCTGCTGAAGCGTTAAACAATCATACATGTCTAGTACTAATAGATATAATTTAAAATAATCTGCATAAATAAGTCTACAAGAATAAAAATGGTGATCGAGATCATTAATAAATAACAAAAATAGCAACGGTCCAAGGTTTGAACCTTGAGGGACACCTGATTTTCCGAAGTACACTTGTGAAGAATAACCGTTAGAAAACTAAATAGCTGCCTTTCCAGAAGACATGATTTACAGAATCTCATCAAGGCTTGAGAAAAACCAAACTGGTTCAACTTATCAATCAATATCCCATGATCCATTTTGTCTAAATCCTTCGAAAAATCGGTGTAAATAACGTCCACTTGCCCACCTGTATCAACCGCTTCAGATAAGTGTTGATTAGATTTTTTGTTTAGGAAACCATGCTGTGAAGGAGATATTAGGTTGTGAACAGACGGATATATGTGATTGTAAATAACAATCTCGAAGATTTTAGAGACATTTGACAGAATAAAAACAGGAGTAATTCTTGCCTCTTTCCACTGCCCCGGGAATCTTTCTGACTTTAGTGCTAAATTAAATATTATGATGTTTAATGGATAATCTAATAAATAAATACAATCTTTAACCGAAAATGATGGTATATTTGTATTCTTAATGCCAGTTATTATCAGTTTAATATATGTTTCTCGTTGAAACTATTATAGTTGTATATAAAACGAACACATGCTCGCTCCTCAGATAAAAATACTAGATAAAAAAGCTGCATGTGAAGAAATTTTTTACAAATTGATTTTTAAACATATACTTTATAATTAACATTTCTTTGGCAGGGGCGACACTTTGTTTCTTACTTAATTTTTCCTTTTTTTTAGTTTCGTATATCTTTTTTTGCTTTTTTATATTAATTTTTATTTGTATCATTATGAAGCTTAGGGAAACAGAAAGAATCGCAATTCTAATAATGGTCGAGAAGACAAAATCAAGAGGCTCGGAAAGACGTCTGTACTCATTCCAACTGAAAACCAGTTTATCAATCTTCACTAAGCAAAGATGATAAGAAACTTAGAGAAACAGGTCATGTAAAATGGCTCTCTAAAGTTAGAAGGACACAAATACAGGAACGCAAGAAACTAGATGTTCTACTAGCACTTCAAGATAATCCTCTTACTATAGTCTGAATAAAAGAGGAGTGCAGTAAAATTGGGGATATAACGTTACATTCCATAGGCGTACTTTGCAAAATAAGTTTCTATAATATAAATAAGAGCACAGCATATAAAATTGTATATACGCACTTCGTAGATTAAATTTTAAAGGAAAAATATTATTTACAAAAAATAAAAATAAGCCTTATACTTCTGACAAAGTTGTTGCACTTTAACATTGAAGGAATTAAATTTAACCAATAAATAACAAGGAGGATTATATGTTGTTAATGGGGTCAACCCATCTTTTACCAAGGGCAAAAAAGAGGGTAATTTCATAAAACTAGTTTTATCCGTTAAAGTAAAGCTTAATTAAGACAAAATTACAAGAACAAAATTTTTCATGACTAAAATTATTAAAAAAAAACGTGCGCATATACGCACCACTGGCTAAATCCGTTAACATTGGTATTGCGAAAAACAATTGGCATGCAAGTTAACTTTGCACTTTTTGCACTTACATTGTTTGATTATAACATACCCTACAACGTATATGCTTTTCTTGCTCTTATCTGTGGTAATCTCATTAGGTGATTATAGTAAAAATACGAACAATTCTAAACCAACTAACAAACAACTGTCACAACTCAATAGTATTTTTAAAGGCTCCTCTCGACGTTGGCCAATATATGTGGTAATAGTTGTGGCCAACGAGTAGCAAGGTGTTTATGGTCATATTGGTAGGTATATTGGAGTGTTGGCCCATACCTTGGTGCTAGATTCGTGTAGTGTCGGTCTTTAGACACATATCAAAGTGTTTTGGTGGGGTGTTGGTGGATTAATGGTTGTCGCGTCCACACGTTGGCCAAGCGATTAGTTCAGTTAGCCCCTCAATATCCATTTTATGTCCACACATTGGCCTGCACCGATGCAAACTGAAACGACCTTCCAACAGTTCCAACGTGTGAACAATCATTGGCACATATATTGGTCAACATAAAGAGGTGACATAACAAGAATAACAAAAACCCGATTTTCCGATACCCTCAGATCTTTCAAGGTTAAGACAATAACACTGATACCTAGGGGAATAGTTATTTTATTACAGTGTATCAAAACTACGTATCTAGCCAGTGGTGCCTTAATGCACCAGTTGTATTTAGAGTAACATTACAAAAAAATAAATGTATACAAATTATTTTTTAATATATTGTTGTAATTTCAATCCTTGCTAATACCAATATCAGAATATTTTTCGAATATACGAAATATAAATAATTAAAAACATACGTGAAAGATAGACGTTCAGATAACACCAATTTTACTAATGTTTGAATATTGTTTGTAGACTTATTTTATTTGGTATATAAGTGTTGTATTTTTTATAAGTTATATGTAACTTCAGAAATCATCTAAATTTATAGATACTTCAAAATATTTGATTAGTGATGTAAAGCAAATTAAAACTGAACTGTCGCATTAACGCACCAATGGTAAAAGATGGGTTAAACTTTTTTAATCTCTTGGCACTAGAAGTTACAACTTCACTACCTAAAATCAAGGATTAAAAAAAATGGAAATTTCAAGAACTATCTTTAAAAGTCACTGTCTTCACTATAACTACTGGTATCATTATCATTGTCTTTTCTTTTCCACCAAGACTTGTTTTTTAGTTTTGATGGAGGTGTCTTGCCAAATTTTTGATGTATATATGTTGTATGTACGCCCAGCATTAATCCGTTTCATCTAAATAAAATACCTGTTTATGCTGATTCCTTGCGTCCGCTATTTTCCTTAAATAAGCATGTCTCCACGCAATGATTTCGTCTTTCTCTGTTAAAAAGCTGTCACGTTTTTTGTAACGAAAATTAATTCATGTAATATTTTTTGCAGATGGAAATATGATAAATTTGAAAGAGTGGGGCTATGTTCTATTTCTGAATGTAATTTTTCGAGTGTAGGAATTATATTTCGAAAGAAAAAGTATGTACCATTTGCTTTATTACATTCTTTATTTTAATAAAGGGCTTGTTTGTTTCTGAACCTCGAGTCTAAACTTCACAGGAAAAATTTCCCATGGGTAAGAAGCCAATTGCTTATTTTCCAGTGGTATTTTAAAACGGTATTCTCCACTAGGTTAGGAATGTAATTCCTATGGGAATTTTGATTATTCGTATATTCAACCTGTTTGGTATTAAATAAAACTGACAATTTAACAAGATATTTCAATACTTTCAAGACTTTCAAGTTGTGTTGGGAACATTGATTCTTCTCATGTTAATGATAATAGATAATGTCAATTTTGATTTTTGTTCTTTCCTCGCGTTAAAAAAAATAATTGTGGTGATCAATACAACAATGGGTATACAGAAAAAAAAAATATGTCGGAGAATAAAAAAAATTAGGGATTTATTATTGTTTCCATATCTGCAAGTAGATCAGAGGACGCCTCTTTTGATAGTCTAAATAATTTTATAATTTTGGTTTCATTTAAAGATTCAAAAGGATCATCTGCCTGATTTTTCCACTTATTCCAAAAATATCTTGGGGCATTATTTGCTCTTCTTTCTGCCTCTTCTATATGGTTTAATTGGACAAGTGAAATAGCCTTCATCCATTTTAAAAAAGAAGATATATTAGAAATAATAATATTATTATTTAAAGTAACAATACCAAATGTAACTAGTGACAGGTTAACTTGATTCAGTAGAATCCATTACCAATATTCCCATTGGAAATTTGATTTCCCATGCCAAATACCAAGTGTATTTGCTCCCATTCTTTTCATGAGAAAATATTCCTAGTGGATGTGTCGAGAATACAAAATTTAAATTCTCATAGAAAAATTATCTTTTTGCCATGGGGAAAAAAATGTTGATAATTGAGGCCCCGGGGGCTTTTTCGGATGTGAGACTTCTCCAATAATGATATGCACTGTCCGCTTAGATACTCCAGTATATATTTCACATTTAGTGGCTATGTCATCCACAGAAAGTGAAACAAAGTCTTTTTAATAGGGGAACCCAAGCGGGGATTTCGGGATTTACTAAAGCGAGGCAGATTAATATACAGGGGTATACCTTGTACCCGGTTAAGTACCTCCACCAAATATGAGCCCCATATATAAAGCCGCCCGTGAAGATTAAAGGATCAGATTAGTAAAAAAAATTGATCATCAGAATTTCTCGAGCGCGTCAGATTAAGATAGGGTGAGTTAATTACATGCTAAAAAGTATATATTCCACTAATCTGACAATTTGAGAGTGACATAAAGAAAGGGGAGGACAGCAAAGTTGAAGAAAAAAAAAACGTTATCTCGACATTCTCGAGCGTAGTTTATTTTTTTTTATTTTGAAGGAAATAATTCAAGGATAATGAAAAATATATAATCTGACGATTTCCGCAAGCCGAAATAACAAAAATTCGTCGATAAAGTTTAATATGTGCAGCTGCGTGATGCCTATATTTCCCTCTCCGCGTTTCTATTCCTCTCTCACTCAGTCCCGGTTTATCCGCTGGGCGCTTGGGGCGAGTGCTCAGTGGCCTGGTCCCCAGAGGGGTCCGGAGGAGTCAGGACCCCATAGCAATTAAAAAATATAAATTAGGTAAAAATTTAAACAATACGTTCCTCAATATTTTAACTTTACTTCAAATTTAGGTACCAATTTATAATGCTTCGAACGAGAGGTCTTTTTCGGCTTTAAAAAGAATAAAGACAGATTTTAGGTCAAAACGAGGTCAAGAAAAATTATATATTAACACTAACACATTAACACTAACACATTAATACTAACACATTAACACTAACACATTAACACTAACACATTAACACTAACACATTAACACTAAACATTAACACTAACACATTAACATTAACACTAACACATTAACACTAACACATTAACACTAACACATTAACACTAACACATAAACACTAACAGATTAACATTTACACTAAAACATTAACACTATTATACAGGGTAGGGTATTATACAGGGTAGCAAATAAAAAAAATATTTTTTTGTCAGATTAGGCGAATCCCTCTACATAATCGTCAGATTATGAGACAGCACGTCTAGCACATAAAGATGAACCATATATATCTTAATCTGACGCGCTTGAGTATTTCAAAATGGCGAATTTTTTTTGCACATTATAATGTTCGCGAGTTTGCGTCACATCGAAATCGTCAGATTATTGAATGAGAGCTTTTTTTTGGTTCACTTAACACCCCCTTAGAAAATCTGACGCGCTCGATAATTTTTTTTTTCATTTTCAACCCTTACGTACAACCACACGCATCATGCAAACAATCAGATTAACATACGTACATTATTAAAAATACGTAGGACATTGATGCTATCAATATCTGACGCGCTCGAGTATGTCCATGCAACAGTGTTTTTTTACATATTTAAAAATCAATAGCCGCTTCCCCCACCGATGAAAAGGTATATATTATATGACATTTTGTTCTTCTTATCATCTAAGCTTTGCAACCCAATAGGTCTCTATGACGCTCGAGTAAATCCCCATTTAGCATCGTGGGCTCCCCTGCTATTTCGAAGAATATTAAATACATTAAGTACGATATTTTTTCCTTCTAAAGAAAATGCTTTATGTCCACTAGGTCGTTTACGTGTACTTGTGCTTGCAATATTTTCTAATGCCCTCGCCATTCTTATATAACTGTAAAATTATAATATACAAAATTCCGTATCAATTAAAATCCATACGATACGGCTATGAATAAATAAAATTTGTCAAAAGAAAAGGTTTATTACAGTAAAAACCATGGAAACTTGATTAAATCTAAAGTAACACTTTTATTAGGCTGATCAGATGTATTAAAATTTTCATTTTAACTACAAAAAAGCATTAAAGAATGAGGTATAAATAAAATGTCTACCTCTTGAACCTGTACTACATTCTGCAAATTAAATTAGTGCATTCCTTTCTTCTTTAGACTATAGTTCATGGCAAGTAGCAATAGATAATAACATTGACCATTCAACACTTCTTAGAATGCTGAAAAAGGAAAGTGATACCCTAACAGAGTAAGTTTAGTTCCCTGACTACTGGAAAGCGATTTTGATAAACAAAAAAGGATTATCCACATTTTTTAGCCGGAATAGTACATGTACTTAATGAAACAACATATTCTAGATATTTACAATTTCTACAAGATTCCTTGCTCCCCGAACTGAATCGATTGTTTCTAAACAATATACTGTGTTGATAAAAAACTACTTGGCTAACGCCTACCTAGATCTTCCCTAGATTATTTTTTGGGGTACTTAAAAAGTAAAACGGGTATGCCGAAATAGACCATAAAATATATGTACTAATGGCCGGTTTCCGGTACATTTTGTTATTGAAAGAATCACTATCGGTCCGATAAAGTTATGTGTCCAATAAATAATAAAGGGTTTCTGAGAACTTATGTATAGATAACTATCGCTCGATAGTAATTAACTAGGTTTGATATATTCTCGCTAGATGGACTTTAACGTCATGTCATTTTTATGTGTCGGAAAAAGGAAGGCAAATGTTCTAAAACTTCCAGAAACTTTACAGATGTCGATAAAATATCTGTTATTAGAAATGGTTATTAAGCACAGTTGTCATTGAAAATAAAGAGTACTGTTTATACAAGTGTGAAAGAGAAAAATCCTCTCGTTATGTTAATTAGTTCAATCATGTCTTAGAATAATCAGTATATACTCCAACAATTTAATGTTTTGTTTCTAAGGCTTCTAACACGTACTGTGTAAAAAGAAGCAAATTAGTAGATGTTGATATTCCTTGGCAGAACGCATGTTTCTGAGGAATAATAGTTTCTGCCGCTTAATTATTAATTTTATCTTAAATAGTATGCTCAAATAATGTAGGCATTGTACTCATTGTACTGATAGGTCTATAATTTTTTATACTATTCTTAGCGCCATTTTTATACACTGGTGATAAATCTACATTTCCAAGATGATTAATGAATGTCAGTTTGCAACAAATATATTAAAAAGTTCATAGATTGGTTTCGCGAAAGAAATTATAGATTTTTTATTAGCATTGGAGAGACATTGTCTGGTCCTGGAGATTTTCTGATATCTAGAGTTCTCAATGTTGCAATTAATTAATTGCGATTAATGTTATATCACAATCTTTAATAGATATTATTTTTGAGTATGTGAGCAATAATATTAGATACACAAATAGATTGAAAATAATCACCAATACCTTGGGCACAATCGCTAGTAATATCGTTAAGATTCATTAGTTGTGGAGTGGCGTGATCTTTCCTTTTAGAGGTTTTTGTATTGTGAATATCATTACTAAACCTTATTACTATGGTTAATTAAAAGATATCTTTATCAAAAATATTGATGACCTCATCGTGCTCACACAGATGTCATCACGTATAAAAAATATCTCATGGAACCCGTGTTTAAATATAATCAACCGATTTCAAGATTTTCTTCCATAGTTACCGATTTACGAAATAATTAATGTATTGATTTCATTTGCACCGTACTGTATATATTTATTGTTTATTTTTCTTTTAGACAGCCAAATTATAGAGTCATCTTCGCCTTGTAAACCATCCAAACAAGATATACCTTCTGTCAGCAGTACCACTGTTTCATCGGAAATTATGATTGTCGATGAAGAGACTAGAATGAGCGCTGAAACGAATAGCAGGGCACAAACTCCCGCCAAACAGGTAATTAAGTTAATAAAAATCGTCACAAACTTGACTTCTTTTCATGTAAGACTTAATAGTCTACAACTTCTATACTTCAGTTCTGCACGTTTTAAAAGTGACGTCGTTATACTTCTATATTAGTTTTTTTTTCAAGGTAATTACATCGTCTGATATAGTAGAAGAGTCCCAGAGCTCTGTACACAGCACCACCACTACTGAAAGCGGTAAAACGCCTTCCAGACCTAGTAAAGCACCTCGTCTCGAGGTTCAAGAACCAGAAAGTCAAATCATAACTGCCGATCTTCTATCAGAGTACTATTGGAACGGCAACGGTCCATTTATGTTGCAAGAACAAGTGGCTCAATTTCTGGGTATCAAGTCTTTCAAAAGGAAATACCCAGGTATCATGAGGCGCATGTTGGATATGCAAGAGCGAGATTTTATTAGGGAAAAAAGTAATTTTCTTTTACCTACCTCTAATACATTTTTCTACTTACTTTTTTTTGTTTCTTTACCCTTTATTTCGTTGCAGGTTTAGCGTCCGAGCACATGTGCGACTTGGGTCTCACGGCCGTCAACAGCGCCGACATTTTGGACATTATGTACTCCGATTTCCAAGAGAAGTATGAAGAGTACTGTAAACATCAACGCGACAGACAAGCCAAGGAATTAATCAACAAACAAAAAGCTTTGAGTTTAGCTACTAGTCAAGAGAAGAGCAAGGCTGATATTACGGAACAGGCCGTACATTCTGCTGCCCAGTGGAATGCACGCTTCAACAAGGTTAGTCGCCATATTTACATTTTATTTGATAATTAAGGCATGGAATAGTACTTGAATCTTTTTAAAATTTTTGGATGGGTATTTTGAATGGTAACGTTATCTATATTTTCTAATGAGAGTAAGAGGAACGTGGAATATCAAGTGGAGAAGCTAGATAATCGGATTTTATCACAATTTTTTTGGATTAACTGAATGTTAAAGAAAATAAACATATTTAATTTGATTAATTTTTATTGTTCGTTTCAATGATTTTTTTTATATTTATTTTTATAATCATAACAATATACGTGGGCTCAACATACTTAACCTGTCAGATTAAATTTTTTGTCAGTTTGATACATTGCCAATCTAGGTTATGTGTGACTACAATGTGTTTTAACTCCAAAACAAAATGGCAAAAATTGATTAGGGTAAAAGTCAAAAATCCACTAGGTTCGTTAGTGTATTTACGAAAAAAAAAAAATAACGGTTCAATTATAACCTGTCAGAAGTGCAATCGTACACATCACGGTTTATTTTAGATTTTATCAAGTGAAAAATAAAACTTAAGTCTAATTTTCAACAACTCGTATTTATTATCATTTACTGAAATGAAAGTCTGTTCCTATACTAGAAATATTAGCAAGGTGAAGTTTGATTATTTATTTAATGGCCTACCTTAATCGAGTTGTGCACAAATTAAAGATTTAGGTATATTATTCGACCAAAACGTTACTTTTTCGGATCATATTGATAATACCGTTGTTTCTGCATTGAAAAGCTTACACCCGTATGCACAGTCGATCGCTAGCGATTCGCCAGAGATTCATCTCGGCGGTATCACCAGCGATCCGCTGGCGAAAGCCATGTAGTCTCCAGGATTTCGCTGTTCACTAGACAGGAATTTTGATGCATAGTCGTTCGCCGCTAAAAATTGCACACGTGCTTCTATATTTGTTATGGCGAAAAGGCAGAGACTTGCTGGTGATACCGCCGAGATGAATCTCTGGCGATCCACTATGCATACGGATGTAAGGGTTCTTAATTCGTAATACTCGCTCTTTTACAAACTCTCAAATCTCGGAGATCCTTTGCTTTTTTTTAGTTCGTTCCAAGCTAGAATATGCATCTCTTATCTGGAACCCTATTTACAATATTCATGAAAGATCATTGAATTTCTCAAGTACCTTTCTTTTAAAATAGATGGGCTGTGTCCCATTCGAGGTATTGAACAATCTCTGCTGCTTTCGAGGTTCAGCATACCATCTTTGGAACATAGAAGGGTAGTTTCCAGTGTGACATTTCTTTATAAAATATTACATAACACTGTTGATGTACCATTTTTGATAAATCAAATAAATTTTAATATTCCCCAAACAGCCATTAGATATCATAAACATGTTATACAGCATGTTTTCGAACAAACTTGGGAAGAAATTCGCCTATTCGCTCCATGCGAAGTCATGGAAAGAGAAGCAAAAGCGATACTAGCGCTAGCTGCGGATAATTCGTGCATTTTAGGGCGATATTTTGTAATTTTGGTATATCAAATACACGTATACATTTTACTTTTTTTTTTTCAAAAAAGTAGGTAAAAACAATACAATAAGCAACCGGAGTTGCTGTGTTGAAAATTGTACAAATACTAGCAAAAAAACAGTGAAACTTATATAAAAAAAAATCAGTAGCAAAGTGGAAATTAAATCAAAGAATTAAATGGATAGGTGTACAATAAGAAGAAAAATTATCTTTATTTTTGTAATAATAACAGTAATGCTGGAAATAGTAGACATCAGAAACTTGAAAGGTTTTAAATAAACAATAAATTATCATTTTAGGATGTTCTTTAATATCCCTTTATTCTTAAATGTTCATTCAGCAAGGACTAGATTTCAAGATTTCTGCCTTTGATTATTATGTGGCTGGAATGCAATTTTGTGACTTACTGATGGAAAGCCAGTTTTAATCATTCATTTTGTTTTATTTCGAACAAAAATGAAAATATAAATAACGATCCTTCTTTTATACATTTTAACTTCACGCTATTATTTAATGGTATTTTTTTATTTTGACAATAGGTTTGATTCTTCAAAGACAACTGATTAAACTTAGGCAACTTCTCATACATTTTCCAGTAAATACTATTGCCTGCCTATATTTTATTATTGATTTTTATTGATTATAAATAATTTTCTTTAATTTAAGCGATAAAAATATATAATAATAATAAAAAATTAATGTTTTACTTGTTTTACAAATCCATATACTTTTATTAAAACTAACATATATACTTTTTAATTACGAATTCTATTAAAAATTATTTGTCAGTATACGCAGAAATAGTCCATTCGTACCAAAAGTACCAAAACGAATTCGCGCTGCTGTCGCACACGGAGCGAATAACACAAATGTGCTCAAATCTTAATCAATATTGTTCTGATTGTGATATTTATTTAGACTGTCTGGGAAAAATATTAAGTACCATTAATTGAACTAATTTGTAGCTAATCTATTTAGGATTCTTTTTCTTTTTTTTTTCTTGCTGTCACTTTCGAAAATTATTTTCTGTCAAAATATTGTTTGACATTTATTTCATGTAATTTGTCCTGTAAATGGATTAATCTGTTGGCTTTTTATTTTATTTATATTTATTTATTTTATGAAAATGTTTTAAAACATGACTTTGCAAAAGAATTAGTGCTTTCTAATTATTGTTGTACCTTATGAAAGTATAATCTTGTTGGTTAGGCTGATAAGTGTATTATAGTTTTAAGGTTACGATTTTCCTTAAGAAAACGAGCAATGCTATCAACTTCTTCATCAAGATTATTTGGTCTATACTTTCCAATTATCACTTCACTAATTACTATTTTTATAAACTCCAACAACTGTAAAGTACGTCCTGTATTTTCCTAAAAAAGATCCATGGTACGATAAAGACTTTACCTTAGATTCTCTTCGTCCCTCTAGGTGAAATGACCAAATTTCTTGTAACTGTCTGGAACTGCTGGAATCTTAACATCCAGCTTCCATAAATGAAAAACACAACCTTCCTTCAATAAAAATTATGTGATACACTTTACACTCATAACTTTTACATGGATGTTACTTAAAGTAGGTGTTACAAACTTTATGTTACATGAAGGCAGATCAAAACTGAGTCCTTTGTCGAAGAATTGAGTTGCAGTAACGCGGCTTTGTTGAATTCTTGCATTTATGCTTGCAAAAAAGAATTATGGCATTACTTTATTTTTTCATTGGCTCGTTGCTGGTATTGAATATTATTGGCTCTGTGTTTACTGTTATTTTCGCCGGTAGAGGGCGGCTGGTCGTTGACCAAAGTATAGAGATGGGACTTGATTTTTATTGTTAAAGGTGGGTGTTTTTGAATGTGAATTAACCAGTTTTATATAAATGATTGATGGTGATTAATCTTTGTGTGAGTTTGCGTGAGTGAATGTAATTCGAACAAACCAGTTGAGCAAAGATTATGTAGAAAAATAAAGTATTTGTTGAAATATTATTTTTATTTTAATTATGTCAGGGGGAGAGCATAGGGATCAATCAACCCTATTAATCTTGTTTTTCATATTTTTGTGACTGTCGGACTTGAATTATTGGTCAGTTAATTGACCAAAATTATTTTCAGTTCATAGTTTATGAATTGATTAAAAAATATATTTATTTATTTTAGGAGAGAAAAGAACAGCGAAAGGCATGTATGGATTTACAGAATTTCACTGTTCATTACCCCAAGGGTAAAAAATCTTCTCCAGTTACAAATCCACATCCAGGAAATTACCCTGTAGCTTTGGTACCTGGTCAATTCGCCGAATACTACAAGGTAAGATTAGTTTGTAGGAAAAACAAAACAACGTGAAAGGGCAGCAGCCTCTCCGCCCTAAACCCCCTCGAAATCAGTGGCAATTAAAATTTTAAAAGTTTAAAATACAAAATTGTATGTTTTCGCATTTATAACTGATATGTCCCAACACGTGGCATTCCACTAAGTTAAATCCCTGTCAAAACAGAAAAAAAAATGCATTTTGTACTTTATATCAAATATCTTGAGTACGGTCCATTTTAGGGACATCATTAAATAATAATATACGGATGGACTTAACTGTACTTATAAACCTATTTTAAATTTTTCAAAAAAGTCATTGTTCATAATTTCTTTTGCTTGTTAAATAAATACGATTTATGTTGATAAACTTCGATTTTGTTATACAGGGTGCGTAATAAAAAATACAATTGTGGATTTGCAAAATTAAAAAATATTTAATACATTTTTTCAAGCTATCAAAAGAAGAGCTTGTAGGGAAAAATCGAAAAACCAAATGAAGTTTTTTTTTGTTAAAGCTATAATATACGTTGTTTTTGCAATGAAATGTGTTTTAAGCTCCAGCTCAAGGGTCGTAGGTTTGGCATTAGAATAAAATAATAAGTCAATTAGAAATTGCTCATTGTAATTTCACTAATATTTAAAGCATTTATTAAAATTTTAAAACAATAATGTTAAAAAAAATGGAAAAAACATTAATAGTTAAATTTACTTTATAAACAAATTCTAATGTCCAAGAGTTCACAAATCAAAATTTCTTTAAAGTGTTTATATATTATTGATTGAAGTTACATCAAAGAAAAAAATGTAAACTTATCTAATTGTTAAGTGATTTTCTTCAAGAGTGTAAAAGGAAAGTTCAACCAGTTTTCTTCGACACTTTGGTTAAGGAACTTACATAAAGCATGACATCGGGCCAGTAGGTCAACTGACTTTCTTCAATGATCTAGAACAGGGGTGCACAACATACGACCCGCCAGTGTCGTTTTGGCGGCCCGCCGGCTGTTGACCTGTTTGGCCCGCTTACGTCAAATTATACATTTTTTCATTTTTAGTAATAAACTTGAATTTCGGCTGACTCGATCAGCAGGATGGGCTATAATTATAAGCTGACGACTTTTTTTTAGAAGCTCGACGAGCAGGAGTTTGTTTTTTTTTTAGAAATCTGAACCGACTATTCTGGGCTCAGACACCTCTCTTGGCGGCCCTCGTCCAGTTACGGTTTTCCAAATCTGGCCCTTTGAAAATCTAAGTTGTGCAGGCCTGATCTAGAAGGTAAATTCATCACGTAGGTCTGCTTATCGAATCCAGCGGTACACCATTTAGTTAACGACCAGAAAATAAACCATTGTTCATGACATACCCTCCAAAGTTTTAAACCATCTTAAAACTACTGAGGTAAATGTAGTTTTTGAACGATAAAATAAGGAAATGGTAACTAGGGAGAAATGAGATGTTTTAATAAAAAAAAAAAAAAAAACGATTTTACAGAAATTAAGTGTTTTTAATTAGCTGAAAACAATATCCCATACATCATGCATCAAAAAGAAAATATCAGTATATTCATTGTATAAAGGACATTAAACACAAAAATATTAATATCAAAGCGTCCATAATAAATCAGACGGATTGGAGAATCATAATGAAATTAATTAACAGCGGATGATTATGAAATTAGAGAATCAACCTTTACATTTAAATTTCAAGTGACAATGTCAAAAAATAGTTATCGATTGACATAACACAGAATCGTCACACCTAGAAAAGAGATGGGACATTAAAGATGGGAGAAAAATAACAATCATAGACATACCGTTCAGTGGTTGACAGCACACCAAAACGTGACACTGATTAGAGATGGACAAAATTATAATGAATGACTTAAAAAAAAAATAAATAAATATTTTACATGTACAGTTAAGTCCAACCGTGGGTACACTATACAGGGTGGACGACCGGTAACGCCTCGCTCTGTAGAGCCAAAACTATTTGATTTTTTAAATCTGTTTTCACAGCGAGATGTATATCAGAAAAGCAACAATTTAAAAATAATTTTATTTGTATAGGGTTCTCCAAGAAAGTGATAAATATCAAAGTTAGTTTTTTTTAAATGGGGCACCCTGTATTTTATTTTATACTTGAATTGCCCTCATTATAACAATACAAAATAGTATGGGATTATACAGGATGTTGCCACCCTATAACCGATTTTATATGAAAATCGTATTGATATCTATGACCTGTTAATTGCAAAAGAAACGATTAAGAACCAATTTTTTGTTTTAGAAGGTTTTGGTATTATGCCAATGCACTAATTTTTTCAGATCAAAACAAATCTGTACAGAGCGTGTCAAAACTCAAATACATCATTTTCATTTCATTTTTTTTTTTTTTTTAATTTGACCGCCCTATATTTTATATTGCCACACCTTAATTAAAGTTTAATTTGAGTTAAGCATTCCCTATACCTAAAGTTAATAATTTTGGGAGATTTTAAATTTTAATGAGAAAAAAAATTTCCAAATTACTTTAATTTTAACTGGTTAATAGGAAATAGACTGTTAATTAATAATTAGAATATAACCAGCTATAATTAATTTATTATCGACTGAATAAGTTTTTGATAATTTTCCATATGACTTTAACATTCAGTTAAAAACTAATCATAGACATTCCATTATAATACCAACTTTATTCTAAGTTTATTATATTTTTAGGTTGACTTTGAAACCCCAATACTGACGTCATTTGTTTTTAAAAAGTCTAGCCAGTTTTTTAATATAACCTACAGTCGAGAATAAGATAAGCATTTCGAATGTTACTTAAGAAATGCGAGTTAGACCTTTAAAAACCAACTTTACGGTGGCCCACCCTGTATAGATAATGACTTCACAAAGAACTTGCATCTAAAGCATTTTCTCCTCCAATCATAAATAGAAATATATTAAAAAGTACAAAAACAGTCTCCTATAAAGTACTTCCCCAATTGGACTGACTATGCTCAAAATTATTCAGTTCTTCTTCAGCGACCTCTGGAAACCCTATGTTACAGATCCCATCGAAATCGTCCTAATAATTTGGGTTCTATTGTGCTAACAAAAAACGTAACACAGATATACATATATCCAGATAATTTTTAAAAACATGTTTTTTTTAGGTTACTAGGACTCCAAAACACATTTTTTTTAATTATATTTTTGCGCGCCTATCAGTCCAAAACGTAAAATCTGGTGTTATATCAAATTTGAATTTTGGAGTGATTTCAATAACCTTTCCTTTTTATGGGTTGGTGGAGAGGTTAATAAATTAATAAACAACACAAACAAGTATGATGATTATATTCTTTGAAAACAAACTGTTGTTTTGCCATGGTTAAAAAATAAATTAAATTTTTTTACAGGAATTCACCCCTACTGAGCTCAACAATCTCCCCATCAACACGATGGGCTATGAAGAAGTCCATTTCATTCCCCGCGAGGTTTCAGATGAATCGGGCTCTGAATCTGACTCCGATTCCTCCAGTTCTTCCGGATCGTCGTCGTGTTCGAGTTCCGATTCGGACTCGTCTTCGGGCATCGACGATTGCAAATTGTGTAAACATTCCCCGAAAAAACCGTCGACAGCAGTGGCGCCTATGTCTCCGCCGCCAGCAGTGGCGCCTCCGCTGGCGACGGCCAAATGAGAATTACTTTTGTTGAAGTATAAAAAAGGCAGGTTGGTTATTAAATAGCCGGATAAACGAGGGTTAAATGCGGAATGGGATGTACTACAAATGAGTGTGAACCTTTTAACTTCATTTGCTTGATTAAAATGTTGACACTTATTTGTGAGACATCCTGTATAAATGCATTGCTGAAGATAAAAAAACGTGTATATTTGAAAAGCGGACGATTCTAGTTTGATTGATTGAATGATTTTCGAAAATGACTGGTCAAAGGAAGAAAACAGACAGATTACGATTATTAAATAATGTCTACAAATATGTCTAGTATTTTTAGTTTTTATATTGATGTTCAGTTTTTATTTAAATCTGCCTTGGCCATGGAAATTTGACACATTTCGCTGTTTATTATAATATTAATTAATCAGGCATTCCGACGGCCTGTCAAATAATAGCTGCAAGTGGGAAGGACTGGTATATTTAAGGGGGTTGCGACATAGACTTCCATCTTGGATGCTATTTTTATTCGAAATAGTAGTCGCCAAGCTTGCTAATTCATGAAAATTGTATGAGCGGGTTTTTTAAAAATAATATTTTAATTGTGTTCGACATAAAATATTTAAATTTAATTCATTTTTCATGATTTGACATATTATAGATAGAATATATCGTGTGTTGCAACCATTCAGATATACCAACCACTGACAGTTCTTTTGTTTGGAATGCTTAATATTTTTTCTTTGAGTTTATTTGAAGTATCTCTCATTTTTATCATTTAAAACAGGGTTGTCAAATTATGTGATATGAAAAAAAATCTAAACTATTATGTCAAGTGTAAAGTACTCATCTTTGATATAGACTAAAGTTTCTGGATCATTGATCTTTGATTATTATTATTATTATTATTATGTTTAATGTTGAAGATTTCTCTTCCTGAAAAATATTATATTTTGTTGAGACAAATCTAACGAATTATTTTTATAATGTAAATCAGTTTTCCTTTTGTAATTTTTCGTTACTTATTAATAATTTTTGGCATTTTGATTTAATTACAATAAATATACAAAATATTCTAAAGAAATTTTAGATCCATTAATTTTATATTTTGATTGTGATATGTTTGGATTGCGTTTTTTTTTTTCCTTGTCTTTTTCCTTATCTTTTTTTGTTCCACCCTTCGGACCCTCTTGCTATCACCCTAATATGGTTGTAACGTGGCGACACTGCAGCCTGCAGCTTATTGTGCTCATTGTCGAATGTTCCAATCGCCACCCAGTCTCGCGGCTAACCTTTTCGGCCTTTGTATTATTGCGCAATACATTTTTGATTGTTTTAAATTTTAAATATGTAGGAGATTCTCCAGTGAAATGCTTTAAAATATCAAAAGTAAAACCGAAAGCGACGTAGCATCGTTATATTTTTTGGTGACCTGTTTGTGGAGAAGAAGATGGTGTTGTATTAATATGCATTTTGAGCGATGTTTTACTTTCAAAGCCACCCCTCATTTAAAAAGAAACTGAACACATAATTTTTTATTTTTGGACAAAAATGAGTAACAATTACGAATCTAGACTAGAATAAAATTATTACTTTTGTGTCTTAAACTTGTGTCCATAAGTAAAAGGAATCTCACTATTCACCTTTGTTAAAAATCGTTGAACTTAATGTCAGTACTAGTAACGATAGATTTTTAAGTAAAGGCTTTCATTACTATTTTATTTTAAAATTTCTAATGTACATATTTTTGTATTTTATTATGTTTCTAAGATGTCTAAAACTATATATAATGTTCTTTTTTTTTAATAAAAAACATTTAACCATGATAGTTTTATTAATACATCTCCTATTTGAAAAGGGGGCACATTTTAAAAATATTTTTGGATACACAGGGTGTTACGCTTTTGCCTGGCAATACTGTAATTAACACACAAATATTAGTATCGACTATTTTTATTTGGCCGCTTTTCTCTATTTCTACAATTCAAATCGATGTAAGTGCAAATGCCGTGTTCCTTATGTTGTACCTCTGTCTAGGGACTAATACGGTATTTCAGGAAATTAGATTACATTTGATAGGTAGATTGGGTATTTTTAAAATATTATTTTTTTATAAAAATGTGCGTATATTTTTATGTATCACGGAACAAAATACAGAATATATTTTTGATCGAAACTAGGCACTCAATTCTTATATCATTAAGTTAATTATAATAAAATTTTCAAAATAATTATGTTTGTACATGTGCAGTTAAATAACTAAAGTTTAGATTTTATTAGAACCGGTCTACCTTCCTCAAAATTCAAGTGGGATTAATTGTTAAAAATATATTAGAGATATTACATTTTTAATAAAACAACAAAAATAATTGCTTACAATAAAATAAACTTAACAAAAAGACTTATAATAATAAAAGGGTGAACGTTAGTAAGCTCGTAATATTTTTCAATTTCCATGCCATGACGTATACTATCATCCCATTTTTCAGGAATAAATTTAGAAAAAATGTCTAGTTGTAATTAGAAGTTGTTCACTCATAGTAGGCCTTGTGTTATTTTTCCATATTTTATTTTTAATATCAGCCTATACCAATTCTATGGGATTAAAGACGCAGTAATATGGAGGTAATCTTAGCACTTCATGCCCGCTTTCTTTGGCCATTTTATCGACCACATATTTTGGGTTAAAATTAGGCTCTTTTAATAAAACAAGTCTTTCTTTCGCGCATCATCTGGAATGTCCAAACCTCTCTCTTTTAAAAAAGTTGCTATTACTGCCTTTCTAGCTTTGACTTTAGTTATTTCTATAGACGGCCTAGAGTGGTACGAAGCAATATCTAGCACAATTACAATATAAGGTAATAAATTTGGGAGCAGTTGTTCACCAAACCACGTTTCAAACAGCTTGAATAAGCCGAATAAGACTTAATGTTTTTAGCTGACAGTAACAAGCAATTTTTTACAAAACCATCTGCATTTCCAGCGTTCGAAATAATTATTCTTTTCCCCCTGCTCATAGGTGCATCTAAGACCGATTCCACCGTTGTGTTAAACGAAGTTTAAAATGACATTTTTTTACATCAACAATGTCATTTTAATCTCCGTTTAACACAACGGTGGAATCGGCCCTAACGAACATAAAAATCTATATTTTATGTTTTTGGTGCATGCTATTAGTTTATAATATTTTCTAAAACTTGCGATCATATTTCTATTTTATCATAAAAAGTCAAGTCGATAGCTCGATTAATTTACAATCCTCGGTGATGTAAATAATAGTAATGTTTAATAATTGCTGATTTTTGTGTTTTTCTTGTCATAAAAATTTTTTTCATCTCGAATAAGCGACTTTTGTACTAAATTTTGCTCTACTAAAAACTAAAACGTACACCGTAATCCGACTTGAATATCTATCAGAGAAACATCACACATACATCGAGCGAGCGACGTTGCCAAATTGAACTGAGAGTTACTGCGTCGCGTATTATTTAGCAGATTTGTAATTTGGGTTAGACGTGTACTGGATAACGACGCACCCTTTGTACAACCTACAAGTAGATACAAAATTACCATCTCAATTTGGTAATTTTGTAGTTCGGTGTCCTAGAAGTGCGCATGTGCGCACCATTACTGCTCCAACTCTTGTCAATCAAAAAAACCACATGGGTGCCGGTAAACGTAAATAAACAAATTTTATTATTTTCTGATCAGTGTTTATTTTGTGAATAAATTTTTGAAGTTATCTACCTAGTGAACTGTATTTTACGCAAGTTTAAAAAAAAACGTCAAAAATGGATACAAGTCATCAGACGGACAAGTACTTTACTGTATTATTTCCATTTTTATTTTATAATCGATAAATTATGTATGTGATTAAAAGTGAAACGACCAAGAGATATGCAACTAAGTTTTCATTATGTATTTCTGGTTACATATGTACTAGTGTAACCCATTACAGATCAATCATAGTCTACCTCCATGAGATCAATGAACCCATTTGACAGTGATAGGAACATGGTGGGGACAAGTGGTTCCGTTTTCCAATGACGTACGCTTGTAGAAGGATATAAAAGAGAATATTCGATTTCTTATTTACACATTATGTAAAAGTTCTGACTGACTGGGTTCCATCAAGAAATGGGTTACTAAAATGAAAAAAAGTCAGATTCTGGTTGCCAAACAAGAAATATCAGAAAAAAATTGTTCCAGAAGGTATTTAAGAATATTGTAGATCATTTTCTTAATGAACTTGAATTATATAAAAATCCCCTTTATTTATCATTTACCTAATTGTAGATTTTGTGGAAAGGTTATTATTATTTCGGGCACGGTGGTGTAGCGGTCTATCGCGCTTATATTCATTTATAAGCAAGTTTATGAGTCTGAGACTGCTGGGTTTCGAATCCCAGACCGGACCATGTGGATTTTTAATTAAATTGCATGGTTCGGTTTAGGATTTGATGTGTGGCGTATTAATAGAAATTCAATTTCTGTTGATATGACATGCAGATTAAAAAAATTCGCCATACATTACCGTCTCGATGATGGTGGGTGAGGTTTTCTGGGTGTTCCTCACCTGTAAGTCAAATGGCACCATCAATCATCTTTAAGTCGCCCCGGAGCGCCACGGCAAATAATAATAATAGCCGTCCCTTTCCCCGGACAAGCTCAGCTTTTGGGGTTAAAATTCACTCGTAAGGGGGTGAATTAGGGAGAGTATTATTATTATTATTATTATTATTATTTATATCTTGAAGACTTGTACAAATGAAATACTTACTCATATTTTAGATAATTTTCAAGTGTTTAAATTATCAATTTATTGCATTTCTTAGCCTAGGTGTATTGTATTATTTTAGCCTCGATTCTATTGTTGTTTTTACCTGTTAGAACCATTATGTACGCTTTGTAGAGCATGCGCAATGAGCCTTCTTGTTTGCTCTCGTACATGGACGTTGCACAAGCAGCAATGTAAATTCGTTATATAATATATATTTGTGGGTAAAAAAGTTAAATAAGGTATTTTTCGTGTTGTTAGTCCCCAGATTATTACACAAACTTGTCTGGTCATCCTTTTCATTTACCAAATAATTCCCGAAACGTGTCCTCCACAAATTCCAGCTTTCGGAGACGTTTCCCAGCAGGGATAGTGGCGCTATGCCCCGATTGTTTCCCATCCTAGGTTAGAGTTTAGAATTTCCACGTAATTTTTCACTTTTATTTTTAATGATGTTAAATTTAAACAGCTGACCACCAACTATAAGTTTTGACGTAGGATTTACTTACGACTGCGCCATGTTAGAATGTAATTTACCTAATTAGTTGATATTTAATTAGGAACTATTTGTCTTGTTTTTGGGTAAGGAATCACACCAGGAGTGATGGCACATGTTTTGTGAGACACTCTATAGTTAAATGAAACAAAAACATATTAACAACATAATGATAGGAGAATAGTATCCAGGTAGATTCATCTTGCAACAAAGTGAATGTTTTAAAATGTAAGCTTAAGTTTTCACATTTTATTACTTGATATGAGAAAAACATTTAAAATAACAAAATTATTATAAAAACTTTTTTTGGGATGAATTTATAAATAAGAAAATATGTTAATTTAACTTTAAGTATACACACGTAAACTATTATGATAACATTATTTTTCAAATAGACTCTCAAAATGTTTTTCCTCGAAATATCTCGAACACAGGACGGTTACCAATAATATCTTTGTAAAAACGGTATCTATTCAGTCAGTTCTTTTTTTTTTCGAATTCTTTGAAAATTTGTAAATAATAATGTTTCTATAATCTTTTTTTTTCAGTACGATTCTATTCATTAACTTATGATTATGTTATACCTATAACCTCCATGGTTATTATTTATAATTATTTGATTTTTACATAATCTAGACGTGTACAATCTCGTAAAACTAAAGGTACCATTATATCTCCTCAAGGTCTTTCAACTAACACTATATAAAAATGAAAAGAATGAAGTAAATAACGAAAAATAAAACACATATCACAAAACTTATAAGTAAATGTCACAAATGATATTAGGATGGTAACAATATGGCGCCATAACACTATAAAAAGAAAAGGTATGAAATTACGCAGTTTGATACTACACGTCACGGTGACGTAATGTGGTGGAAGGCGTGGCTTTTACGAATTTGACGTATCAGCTGATCGAAAACAGCGTGAGAAAATAAATACGTCATGCGCGAACTCGACGAGATTTCGTCGGCTATCATACCTCTGAATTTTTTTGTATCAGATGGCGCAGGTGATAGAGTTCCAGTAAACAAGTAGCGACTCCTCTCCCTACTACCTTCGTGGATGTACGTACAGTACAGAGAAGAGAGTAGGTATCTTCCAGTTCAGTATCAGTGGAACAGGTTATTTAAAACCATGATCACTTTAAAAATCACAGTTACAAAGAACGATGTTACTAAAAAATCATGATATCGCTCATCACTAATTATTAATCAATAACAAAGAGTATGAAATCTCAGCATTTTTCAATAGCAGCTGCGGTATTAATTATTACAAACTGAGAGGTTAAATAATAAATCAATATAATTTCCAAAACAAGGAGATATGTATATGGGTGAATTACGAATATTTTAGACAGAATGAGAATTAAAAAAATTTAAAACATTCTTACAAACTTTACAGTGTGGAAAGTGACATTTTTTCACACGAGTGAAATTGTCGCACGAGGCAGAAGCAGAGTGCGACAATCATGCGAATATGAAAAATCACTTTCACACAAGTCGTCGTTTTGGCTATTGGTCGTATCTCAGATTTACAATAATA